ATAATACATTATGCTTTTCGAGAATCGAAACTGCCGCCGTTTTTGGCAAAGCAACTTCACGCTTCTCAGTTTACAGATCAACGACCTCTGCGCGTTCAGTCGATCGGATATGTTGTGTTTTCAGCGCCACAAGTGTGACATTTTTAGTGTCCAGCACCGGATCAGGTACGGTCAAAAAAATTTAAATTGGGCCTGATCATCTCATCTGTGCAGACGCCATCTTTACGGTTATACTACTACTACTGATAATCTCGTTTCGAAACACCGTCGTATTAGCAGGTAGCTCTTGCAAATGAGAATTTGACGTCAAAATGCCAGAATGGACTGCTGTCGTACGTTTTAGATAGAATAGTAGGCTTTGCTTCAATCGTTAAGCGGTACACGCGGAATTACGCTCCATCCGACGACGTTAAACGCTGCTTGGCAACCTTGAGTAAGAACACCTTTTAAAAATGGCGTAGACATTTCACTGCGTTATTCGCCTAGTTTTAGTAGTTCGAATGGACTGCTAACCAGTATTGCAAAGCAACGTAACATCTTTATATATACATATTGTATATATATATATAGTAATAGTAGCGCTTATATTTTACCAAATCATTGTGTAACGATCGCTTGATATCGAAGACCTATCTGGCCGAGTTTGGGGCGCATAGTAAACGACCATACCTTCAAGGACGTCATTGACGTAACATTGATGCTGTAACTTTTAGGCCCAGGAAACTAAGAACTGCTAGGCTGGTCTGCTTGTCGTGATTGGTGATCTTTTTAGTCGTGTCTTCTGCAGCCAGCAAGTTAAACGATTACGCCTGTAGACATTAGAGGTTCTCCACTAAAACTGATGCAGCGAATTTATCCGAAACACTATTGGCCTGTTGTCATCCTTAACTTCCTGTTATAACCTTGCGACGTTACAGCGTTAGTTAGGCTTATGTTAACATGAGTCTAAACCAGTACAGATTTGAAGGCATATCTGCCATGTCATGCGACTACATGGCCAGCATATGTATCCTGATCACGCCATGTTACTGATTGTAAATTCTTTTTCTCCTAATTAAGGTATCATATTCAGGCTTCAGTTTCTGGAAGGGTTTATATTATTATAACGGCGCGTTTTAGTTTGTAGAATTTCATAAGCAAACAACTTTTCAGATGCTTTGCATATGGTGTCACTTCAAATCTACAGGCTATCAGCCTAGGAAAATAGGCAGTGGTTAAGAGTAAGGTATTGTACCTTACAAGCGTTACATAAATCAAACAATGATTTGTCTATTTGCGAGAATCATTTCCAACTGCAATTTACAGGCGTACGTTCATAGATGCGGAGCAAGTGCACTTTCTTAGCGGATGTCTCCGATAAGCAGAAAGACCGCACAACTGAAGGTTTTGGCAAACTTCGCCAAAAAATAAACAACAGTCTTGCATTTAGTCGAAGTTTAAAAAAAAAGGCGATCGAGGTTCACACGTTCCTCTCCGATAAGAACTGATGGGAGTATTTGAGACGTAAATTGTTCAGCGAGACCATTGACAGAAACACATTATTCAAGATTTTCGTAGATGATTTTCTTTTTCGCAGCCGACAGCAAAAAAAAGCATTGTCTCATAACGCTGAAGGAGGTGGGTTACTAATCAGGTTAGGAAAAGTCAATCATTTAAAACGAAACTGGTGAACAGCTGGTTATCTTTCGAAGAAGAGCCATGATCCTGTTTGGCTGCTTTTATATAAATAAGCAGAGAGAAATTAAATATTTTTCTCCGCCAACCTAAATATCGTTAGCATTCTGTTTCTTATACAGTGCCCCTTTCTAGCCCCACCTCGCCTTGTTCGATATAGCTCCCAAGATAGTGGTCATATAATCGAGAGCAACTACTACACGATACAATTTGCTTTGGAAAATGCAGCCTCTAACAGGCGAAGGTATAATAGCTTAACAACAGTCGTTCAAATATTCGAAAAATTGCAGAGATACCAAGTTGGACTTTTCGAAATATAGTCAGGAAAACATTTCGTCGTGTCCACTTGTTAGTATTATAAACCAAGTTTCTGCTATTAGATTTTACCTCTATCATAACATGGTCTTGCTATGAAAAATGTGGTCAAATGGCGTGTCGGTATGTTTATATAGTTGGAAATCCGACTTGGGATTAAAACAGGTAGGTATAAATTCAGTGGGCACCGCAGTTAGAAAGCGCTGAAAGTACATATAGGTGTGTTGAAAACCGTGTCCGCAAATAGGGTTAAATTAATGTACGTACTTTGGTCTTTCTCCTGGAGGTTTATTAAAGTGCTCCTGGAAAAAAAAGCAGTTTTTTACCCGAAAGAAAATGTCTAGAGAAAACAGCGCCTTGTACATGTAACAGAGCCTTCGCTTAGCTTTCACCTACGACAGACACTCGGCAGTCCGATATAAACCCGAAAATGAATAGCCACGAACGATCTTATATCCGTACTTTTCTGAGGTTGTCCGCTCTAAAGCATTCATATTACGAAAGCGTCGCTTGCGGTACACGATCGCGTGGAGCGTCTTACATCAGGTTCATCAAGGTTCCTGCAGAATTTATTACAAAATCATTGCGATCTCTAACAGGCCCCAGTTGACGCAAGCAACATTCAGTGGTAACATTCAAAATGCTAATTTGATGGCGTTAGTTTAAGCTGAAAAAGAACAAGACACCATGATGGCTTCTACGGACGGTTTCTTCTCGAGTTTGCCATTTTCCTGTATGACTGACAATAGCGCGAAGCAATTTTATTTGTCCCTGCTGAAAAATCTTAGTGGTGGTGGTGGTGGTGGTGGTGGTGGTGATCATATCGCAAAAATCGTAATATCGAGACGATAAGCATTCAAGATCTCATTCATGTACATTTTGGGCTGTAGACATTCTTGTTGTTATTTAAACATTTTTATTACATTGTTATAGTTTGTTTCCCTGTGCATAAAGCAATGTTAACCCAGAACTGGTCCTTCCCGATATTTAACTTAGATTGGGGTTACTATAATAGAAAACAGAGCGTAGTTGCTTGCACGGTTAAGCCTTTGGCTGAGAAAGGCAGGGGTCGTTGTCTCAAGCGCCACCAGTGACAAATTACACGATAAGCGGGATAAAATGAAGAAAACAACACTTATTAAAGCTCGTACCAAAATCATGGGTGCGTAATTTAAGCCATCCCCTGTACGACGGTATATGCCACACTACTTGGTGGCATGACAACATGTCGGCTGCTGGACCATGATAGATAAGCAGCTGTTTATCACCTATGCAAATATGTACAGGATTGTCCGATTAGTTAAATATACCAATATTTATATTCGTACATACATATAGAGAAGGGAGATGCTAACTGTTCGGTGACTGGCAGCCAGCCGTGTTATGCAGGCGGATCAAAGACTTCTATTTAGTTCCAGTATTTATATGCTAGTTTTTATTAAGGCTATATACAGATTCGCTTGAATCATTATGTCTCGAACGATAAAATACCTGATGGTAATATTCAGCGAGTGAACAAGTCCCCTTGGTTCTTTGTCTCTTGCTGCTGCTGCTGCTCTTGCAGCAACGAGGCCCATTGCACAGGTGGCTTTGGTGCATTTGCGCCGGCGCGTCTGCGCTGCGCGCCCATTCGTTCCTTATATCGATCAGAATGGTGGAATAGGGCGTCTGCTTGGTGTGAGTGTGGTCTGACTAAACCGTAGCCAGTCACGACCCGAGACTTCGCCAGAGCCTTTTGGGCCTCGGAAAGGGGACGAGATCGGTGGCGGGTCAGGGACAGCTTGCAAGCTCCCAGCAACCGCCGCTTTTCGTGTGTATGGCAATGCCAAAGGGAGAAACCGACGCCAGATGAGTGTACGCCAAAGCGTTCATGTGCGGCTACAGCAGCGATAGTGGTGAAAACGTTGGCTATATAGTTGTGCGGGGAGCGAACGACAGGAATAAGAGGTGCTGGAGACGAAAGAGGAGGAGGAGCGGTTCAGTCTTAATTCCAATCTACACATCAGCAGCGATCCGAATGGCTGGCTGGCGGGCAGGCAGGCGGGCGGACGGTCGATCTGCGGGTCGGTCGGTCGGCTGATGGTTGCAAGCGGGGACGAAGCACAGAAAGGACGGATTCAGAGGGGATGAGCTGGGGTATGAGGAGTAGAGGGACGCGTGGCGGCGAAGGTGCGCTAGCGATGGCAGCATTAATGAAGGTTGAGGTCCAACCAGCTGACTGACTAAAGAGTCGGGCACAAGGGAGTCAGTACGAACGAAAAGGATCGTGACTATAGACCCGGCCATCGGCAGTGTGCCGAGCCATTGAGCGTCTACCCCCCAATCCTCCTTCTACCCAACGATTCCAGTTGTTTTTCCATCCCCGGTTCCGACTACAGCAGGTTAACCTCGTATTACCTTTGTCGACCAACCTCCTGAATGCGATAAGACAGCTTGGAACCACGACGATTATGGAGAGTCGAGCGTCGTTTTGGTAGCAGTAATAATAAGCTTATATATGCTTAAAATTTTCGGAAATGCGGCTGATGATGAACTTCGTCGCAGTCTCGCTGAAGATCTGCTCTGTCGACATAGTTGACTCCTTCTTCATTTCCTAATGTCCTTAAGTATATAGGCGTAATCGATTTGATTTTATTCGGGTTGTTCTAGTTTCGCCATCATCGCTAAGAGCTAGCCATCGTAGTGAAGTTCTACAAAAACTCTTATTCTACCGAGGAGAAATTAGTGCGAGCAACACGGAAACAAGGGTTAGAAACCGTGCTTAATCCGCTGTATTCTATATGTATAACCGAAAATGGGTTAGAACTAAGTTTTACTATTTATGATCTCGTAGTTCAAAAGAGTCTCGTTAAAAGCGTTTTGGAAAAATCACTGTCGCTAGCTGACGGCGAGGGTCAGCAACGAATCTTCCTCCAGGAAGCTCGAACCTTATTCGGTCTATTTTTACCTTTATAAAGATTATGATTCCAACATCGCCTCACCCCTTGCTAAACGCATTTTAGGGCCAGTTGTTGTATGCAGTTGTTGCAGCCTCGGTCCGCTTTTTTGCTTAGGAGTCTTTTCTCTTTATGGTGCAGCTTTTTGCATGAATGGTGCCATAACCTGGTATCTGCGCAATCGGCGGTAGACGCGATTGTCGATAGCTTGGTTCGCGAGACAGGCGAGATAGGCTGCATCTCCCTGTTCAGGCCTGGCTACAGTTTCAGCCAGCTTGTGCCTGAGAAGGCCAGACGAACATTCAGCCAACCGGCGAGGCAGCTAGGTTGATCTATGCGATGCGGCTGATCACGCCGGGGCGGCGGCGGCGGCGGCGGCGGCGGCGGCAGCAGCAGCAGCAGCAGCAGGCACAATGTCGACGCAGCAACACTTCGATGGTACAGCCAGCTCGAGATGTCGGTGGAGCAGTGAACGCGGCATGCGTTGGCTTCGAACTGCGGCGCGATGTGCGAGTCAGTTATCGGCTACTGTTACTGCTGTCGTGCGGAATAGAGGCACGCCGTCGCCAATCTGCGACAACATCGGAGAAGCTGGTCTACAGTGTAGGATCGAGAAGAACGCTTTGATGGCGGTCGAGTGCCACAGTCAAAACGAGTAGCAGTAGACATTGTAGGCGAGCCGAACCGATCGAGGCGGCCAGCTCGCAAGCAAGCACTCGACGGCCGGCCAATGGCGATCGGGCGGACTGTGACTGCCTGCCCGGTGCTCAGCGCGGTTAGTGTTAACGCTAGTGGGCGCGCCAAGACTGCTGTTGCGGAGCTGCTCTAGCTCGCGAAGCAGCGAGCAGCCAGCCGGCAACGAACGAAAGTAGCAAAGGACTTGAACCAAGCAACCAAGATTGGAAACGAGCGGCAGCAGCAGTAAAGCGACAGCACCTCTCAGCCTCCTGCGCCCTCTCGGCCGCTCGTTCTGTTTGTCTGTCTATCGCTGCTGCCGCCTTTATTGCCTTTGCTGGGCCTATTGGCTGTAGTCGGGCTTCTCTGACAGGGCTCGCCAGCTTGTCTGCTGTGAGTCGCTGGATCGTTGAGCCAGCAGAGACAGCCAAGTCTCTGCTTCTGCTGTTCTATTTCGGCACTGATGGCCGCCCGTACGATGGATAGGCTCTTCTCTCTAGAGAAGGCTGCGCCCCCTTCTCTTCGACTGCAACAACGATCAGCAGCAGCAGCAGCAGCAGCAATACAACCAGCAACACTCAGCGCCACCATCGACTCCACTGCGCCACACTATAGCCTCTCTCAACCACCATCACCGCCGCCGCCTCCGGCATCACCTCCCTCCAACATCATCAGACACAGCAGCAATAGAAGGGAGCACGGTGTACCGCTGGCTGTACCTCCAGCAGCAGCAGCAGCAGCAGCAGCGGCGGCGGTGGTGGCGGCAGCACCACCGCGTTTGAGCAGTAGTACAAGTAGTTGAAACAGTAGTGTGTGCGAGTGGGGGCCCAATCGATGACGCTCTCGTAGGCTCCGCGTCACTCCGCTGACTGACTGGCGAGCAGCAGCAGCAGCAGCAGCAGCAGCAGCGGCAGCAGCCGCAGGCAAAGGCCGACAACAACTGATCTCAGTGGTGCGGAGTCGTCGGGCAGTGGCAGCGGTGGTCAGTTGGCAGAGTCGCGGCGACGTGCATGTTAACGTGCTTGATGTGAAGTGATGACAACAGCTGTCGTAGTGTGATGTAGCGGTGATGTGTTTGTGAATGTGTATTGCAATACGTTGATGCTCGCTATGAAGACGAGCAGCGCCGGTGAAGACCTCGGCGGAGGGCCTGCACAGGCTAGCGACGGGCGGGACGTGAGCAAAGGCTAACGGAGAACGCTCATTCACGTGTTTCAGCCTTATGACAACTATGTGAAATGTTCGTACAGGCGATATGGATCAAAATTTAGATGGTGTCGTTACTTGCAGGTTCGTCGTCAACCAGCCAAAGCCGTTTGCAAGTCAAGACGAGCTGAGTCATCGGCGGTCGAATGAGGCCAGGGGCTGTAATCATCGCAGCGTCCTCCTCCTCAACAAAACCAGCGGTAACTCGTAACGAACTTAAACGAATATCGTTACGTCTCAAACAGGGAGTTCTTAACCTTGCAACGTCAATGAAGTACCATTTGAAGGATTCGCGCAAAACAAGTATGACAGGTAAGCTAGGGAATAACATAACAGTTTATAGTGTCAGGGCCCTACAGTAAGTGTCACTTCAATTCGATCGTATGCTGCTAAGTCAATCCCAATCAGATACTCAAATTTTACTTTTTCGATGGTCAAAATTGGCGCTAAAGATTAACACCTTTTACAAACGATTGTCTGCTAATGTCACCTCATAAACAACGAATCTGTGACTATATTTGGCATCTGTCAGCGAAATACTTCGGTGTAGAAGAATGACAACTTTTGTTAAATATTCGGATGAAGTCAGAGGAACTGGATGAAGGTGCGCAGTGTAACCGATGTGATTTAGCCTCATTCATCTGATGCGATGAAGTAGAATAACGGTCGGGGTTCTATAGCGCCCAAAACGCTGCACTCGATGACAACTTATCAGTGCGAGCATTGCCTATGGATTGTCACGTCGCATTGTCTAATTTTGCCTGAACAGAGACCATTCATATTTATCTTCTTTGGTCTTTAGCTGCCTCCACAAATCTCCGTTTGTTAGCCGCTGAAATGATCGTGTCGATCATACGACCACGAGAGGTATCGAGATCGTACGTTTTGTTTCGAAGAGATTGCTATATCTCAGCCGTGACTGAGGCCGTGCTTACAGAGCAAAATGGTACTGCGAGATCCTCTTTTCTTATATATA